TGCTATAAAGGACATACGACCGGGCAGATATTACAAGGTAAATGTCGCGAAAAAATGTAATTATATATATACTTTTCTTTTACCTATAGTACTTACATAAACTAACTGATAAACACATTAACCTTCTTTACATCACGCAATTGAGTGATAGTATAGGCTAAAAAATCTATTATAAGATATCAGTGACAACCCTAACAAGCCATCCCTATTTTGTCTTTTGGCGTTCCAATTTTGTATTTTCTCGTCCCTAATTTTTCTAGTCTCGTTCCAAATTACCCCACATACGTCCCAATTTTCCCCAAAAAGAAAGGAAAAAATATTCATTTTTTATTTTGTCGAAATATTGTATTTAAAATAAGAATATTGCAACTTACCGTTTGTTGTGGTATTTCGAGGTGTATTAAAAACTTATATAAACTGTGATCTTATTGAAAAAACAACGATAATATTACTTTTTTTAAAAGTTCTTTAAGCTGTTTTAAAACGCACTTTTCAACCACTATTTTCAATTTATTTTGACGAATTTTTGGGACCAACTTAACTCATATTTAGTACTTCCATAGTTAACTTGGTTTTTCGTCTATACATTGATAAATATTAACATAAACAAAATTAGGTACATTCCGTGCTACAGGTACTTTGAGAATCTTCCGCAGGTTTGTCCCAATTTACCCCAGGATCCCAATTTACCCCATGTCATGGTACGCGACCGAGCCGTGTTCCTACTCGGTCGACACTACCCCATGATCTGTAAGCGATTGTTTAATGTAACAAAATCTTATATTCTACATTATCTTACGTTGATTACACCACATATTATTAGATAGTTAATTAGGCTATATGTGGTTCTTCTTATTTTTAGTATCGCAATTGGCTTCTTGCTACACATAATACACAGAAATGTGGAGCGGACTGAAATGAAGTTATATTATTTAAAATTACAATACATTATGTTCATTATAGGATGAGATTTCTTTAAATAACTTCCCAATAAATTGGTAAGAATGTTCTGAAACTTAATTTTTTTCGATTAACCCGAGAAGCCATGTACAGCGTCCTTGTTCCATTTTCCTACTCTTATCACCTTCACTGATGCTAAACGATTAAAAGCCACCATTACTACACATTAAAAACCTGAATAATGACGAATGATGAAATGAATGAAATGATGAAAATATTCACTCAAATTATTCCATGGATTAATCAGATGAATACTCCCACTCTGAACAAATATTAAATATTTTATTATGTATTACTTAGACATTTTTGTCCACCTTGAGATTTCATTGTTCTTGTTACATGTCTGTGCAAAATCGACTTACTTATATTAAATTGCTTAGCTATGAAATGAGGACTTATTCCCAATTTCATAGGCTTCTATTGCTGTTTTTAATATTAAGGGATCATATCTCTTATAAGGCTTTGCACTCTTTGATAGGTACACGTGAGGCATATCTAAAAATAGAAAACACTACGTAACTGATAATATAAATATTTACTAAACAATAAAATAACACATTTATAATTTTGAATAAAAGTTCTAGACAAAAACATCATGAATAAACCAAATTTTTACCAACAAATTTAAAAAATATTGTTTTATCTACATAAACAACCCTACAAACCTGTACCTATTTATACTTAGGTCGTTTCCATTTCACGTATTCTCAACCCAATTGACCCCTTTTTCGTTGTTATTTGTACCTAAGACGTCCCCAATATCCCCAAAAACAACAGATTTTTACATGTATTTTTATTTTATCAAATACATTAAAACCAATAACAACTGAGATTTACCTTTAATATATATGATGGTTCAAACACTAAATAACGTTTATAAATCACAGTCGTCTTCTATTATCATCAAATAAATAACAGAGAGCAAAGTTTCTAGCACTAAAATAATTACCACCACAGGAAGTTATTTGAAACGCGATTTTTTATAAGTTAGTAGTTATTATCATGCATATTCAGAGTTGTTTTGTAAACTTTCAACATTCTACTATTAAACTACAAAAAATGGAAAATTTTGCAACGAATATAAAACTAATATTGAGCGTCGAAAGATTTTCCCAGTTTTTCCCGATTCGGCTCTCAATCCCTAATCGCCCCATTTTACGGTACTACAAACAGCTGACACGAAAATATCTGACAATTGTCAAATTCAATTACCATAAATAAACATAAGCTTACATCTGAAATATCGAGTGTATGTATGCGATTTACATTCACTAAAGAATTGTTTAGAATTGAAAAAATATATTTACAAGTGGTGAGTAATGTTTTTTTCAAACGTGAAGTATTATCTTTGTTTTATACGTACATGTTCCTCTCACCACTGTTTCAGAATATAGGAGTAGGTAGGCATGGCTTCTTTGGTCAGAACTTTGTAAACAGCATCAATTATTATTAAATTATGATTAATACTGACCTATTATCAACAGGGGGGCCGTATACCGTCATAGACAATGAAAAATTACTCTTAAAACACCAGTTATTTTGAATACTTACTCCTATATGCTAGATAGAATACTGGAAGTAAAAGGCCTTGTTGTTTTGTAAAACCAGCAGTGCCTTGCTGAAATCTTAATCCTTGATTAAGTTTTCCCATTTCAAAGCTCTCCATTTGCATTCGTAATTATGGTATTTATAATATTTACAGAAAATAGCCTAATATTACCTACACCTATAATTATATTATGTTAATCAAACTACTGTCACTTTCGTTTCTAAAGATTTAAGTTGTTTCAGATGGTAGAACTTGTTCTTGTGTATCACAATGCTTGTTGCTTTTTTGCTTCATGAAGATAAATGCAGACAGACCTAAATCCACAAAAAAATGCTCATTAAATTAGAATCTGTGAAAAATAAACAATTGAGGAGAATACTGGAACACAGTTTGTATTTGATAATATTGTTATTGTTAATACCAGCATTTTTGTATTTCGAACTATGTGTAGTACTGCCAACCGTTGTAACACAATGGACAATGTCACATTTTATTCACATGTTTTGTGCAACATTCTTATTACACAATATTATTGGAAATATGATATATGGCATGTTAACTGATACAAGTATTAAGGGTAAATTTTTAAATAGTCATAAAAAAGATGGCTGGACTTTTTGTTCAGTTTGTGAATGTTTGAGACCACCCAGAGCCTGGCATTGTGACACATGTGATATCTGCATATTAAAAAGGGACCATCATTGTACTTTTTTTGCTTGTTGTGTGGGATATTATAACCATAGATTCTTCATTTGTTTTACATTCTATATATTCATTGCTATGATGTACTCATTTTATTATAATGTAATATTTCTGTCAGTTTTCATAACTTGGAATCATGGTTTTATAATAATTAAATTTATTTTTCCACTTGCAAGTTTTGTGGTAGATTTTGGCCCTGAAAGTGTTTATGTATTCTTAGTAGTGATCAATTTTATTATTGGTCTCTTTAGTGGATTTCTTTTCATCTATCATTTTAATAATATTATGAAAGGTCGAATTGTTCCTGAAATGAAATCATACACTGAAAATTTTGTACATAATAAAGGAATAAAATTAAATCTGATTGAAGTTCTTGGTACCAAGTGGTACTTAACTTGGGTATCACCATTTATTAAAAGTGATCTACCTGGAGATGGTAGTGAGTGGAATGATTATAGTAAGCGTGAATAGAAAGAATAACTGTTTAAAATTTGTAATACTCAATCGGACAACATAAAAAATTCACATGTATGTTAATTGGCTAGTGATGTCATTTTGACTGATTTATAGCAAATAATTAATTACGCAGATTACGGGAATATGGTTCATTGTTCACAAAATCGTTTATCAGACTGACTTGGGCTCATCACACGAATGTTTGGTCTGTATAGTTCCTACTTCTTTAAAGCAGAATCTTCTACATTGATTACCCCTATTTATGTAGTTGCTCTACAGTACCGAAATATTCTATGATATACTTAGGCCATTTGCTATTGTCTGTATTTTTGTGTTTATTCAGAGGAATTATACTATTTCTGGGAAGGTTTTAATCATAGTAGTAATAACTTCGATAGATTGTGCACGATTATGAAAGTTTTTTATAAATTTAACTAGCTGACTGTGGTGATTTTTCACTAGTTCTCAATTTAAAATAATCAAATTCAATGCATATTCCATTTTAGCACTGTGTATGCGATGTTGCTAATGGCATGTTTTGAAGCATTTATCTTGATAATAATAAAAATGCATGGGTATTCTATTTTGATAGTTTAGAAAAGAATTAATAGTTATTTAAGGATATTATGAAGTTTAACATTCTAAATGTGATTCAGTGCCTTACACCTCTGTCTAAAAGAATCAAATGAATTATACTTTAAGTCATATTTTATTCAATTATTGTACTGTTTATATTTAATAAAAAATTTAATGTCACAGTAAGTTTCATTTACCACTATAATCGTATCTATAAGATCAATATACAATAAAAATAATATATCCTATAATTAAAAATTATTAAGCCGTTTTATTGTCGTTCTGGAATGTTAGTATTTGGCAATATTTGTGCTAAGTATCTGGATCGTATTCTGTCTGACTGGACCAGAGCGGAGTCACGTGGAGCGACTGAAGGCTGTTCTTCCTCTTGAACTCGAGAGTCAGTTTCTTCTTGATCAGAAAAGTCTTCATTTTCTAACAAATTTGCTGTTTCACCAACACCATCGACTCTCCTTTGACTGTAATAAAAATAATTGTGTTAAATGTATTCTTTCTTACATGTGATACTTGAACACCTAAGAGATTATCACATAAGTAAGTCTTTTTTTTTAATGGAAGGTTTACTGGTGACCCGAAGGTCTTTTCAATTTCACCAGGTAAGGTAGAAGATTTCGAATTCAAGAAGACGTTGCATTTGCTATCGACTGCCCGAACGCCTCCGAATGAGACCTGTGTGCGTAGTGCGAGTTTTTTAACGTTCTCGATAGTATAAAATTAAATGTTAACTAAAATATGAATGGAGTTATAACTTTTTCCTTCGTTTGCCGCTAGGGGCGCTGTTCCAAGTGCATACGATTTAACTTTTACGCTATCGAGAACGTTAAAAAACTCGCACTAATCAAACTGGAAGCTCGAGGGAAGCTGTTTCGCGAAAGAATTTACTGCCGAATCGGAATCGCGACCCGCTGAGAAGATCCAAAAAACTCAGCGGGCTTATTTTATGAGATGAGTTTCACATCAAACTCCGACGAGTACGGTTACCAGTATTCGTATGCCTGGTCTTAGTGCTAGAGCTACAGGCGTCTAATAATTGCGTTTATAGATCGGGTGGTTCCGTAAGGACGTGGTAAGTACAAATAAATTCATTAACAAATATATGACGTACGCACCTAATTTAACAAGCAGTTACATGGTTACTATCCGTCCATGTCAATAGGTAGCATGACATAGGTAGCATAGGTAGCATGACTACCTAAAATCTGAAGCGTCACAGCATGGTGCGAGAGCAGTTAAAAAAAACACTAGGTTATACACAATAGGTTATGATTGAATTTGGTCGCTATTTTATACCGTCTCTTGAAGAGTTATTAATTTTAACCCTTTGAGCGCTAACTGTCAATAGATCGACTCTATTAAAGCGTATAAAATGCAGAACGTCGGAATACTGACTATTGCGCAGATTGACTATAGATAGGTGTCGACCTGTACGGACTTGTTTTAACGCGTGTATGTATAAGTTTTTGATAAATTAATGACTTATTATGTAACCTTTTAAAAAAGAATTGCTATGTATTTAGCATTGATTTTTGTATTTTTTTAACTTAATATTTTCAATAAGGTACCTTTTTTTAAATCCGTTTTAAATTTCTAAAAAATATGTTAAAATAAGCTTCGCACTAAAATGGTTAAATATAAAATTTCATAACAAAGAAATACCGAATATTGCGATATTTTTTTTTTAATATATCGTTCCTTTTTACCGTACTTAACCCTCTTATCATGGTCGCTGCTAATTACACATCCGACGGCGCAACGCTAAGCCGCCGTCGCCCGAAAAATGGTTTGACGGATCCCCCGGATCCAATATCGGTGCTTATAGACTCTTCAAGCACCGATCACCGTCCTTGTCAATTACGACAAAAAGTTCAACGAGCGAACTAACCCACATAGACACAGCCCACTGAGTTTCTCGCCAAATCTTCGCAGTGATAGATTCTGCGAAACGCCACTCTTGCTAGGGCTGGTGTTACCTAACAAATTCTCTCAAGTTGAGCCCGTGAGCTCATCTACCCGTTCGGGCGTAGCTGGAACAGCCCCCTAGGCTACCAGCGAATAGGTAGGGAAAAAAAACAGATAACACAGATTAAATAAAATAAAAACCACAAACCTCTTCGTACTTTCTCGCATATTTGGAGACATATTCAAAATACCGTTGTTCGCAGAATCGATTATGTAAATGAAGACAGCAGCTATCAGTGAAACTGAAAATATATTTTTATTATAGTATATAATATATAAATAAAACACACACTTGTTGTATTGTAGCAAGTGTTGACTAATAAGTCCAAGTCTAGAGCAGTGTCAAATATTCATACAATTATGAAAAAAAAAACAATATGACGTAAGCACGTTTAATCTGCGTGCCACGTCATACAAGGCAATGCTGTACCCGCAAGGATTAGCGCCAACGTTCTGCTTATTTTAAGAAAAAATAAGGCATAGTTTTTCAAGTACAAATAGTTTTGTCATGAAGTTGGCCCACTTTTGGGAATTGTCCTTTAAAAGTTCGTTTAGTCATGATCCCATGCAACTAACGTAGGTGCGGTAGGCCTCATAAGTCTACGCCAAGAGTTTTGGTTAGCGCTTGACCAGATCATGGTGACGAGTACATCTTTCCATTTCTCAGACTCAAAATATAACATTTATCACACTTAAACGTAACTCACTAAAAAGACAGCCGAGGAAGAACATTTCCAACATTAAGTATCCGTATTTATCGACGATGACTCCCGCCGCAATGATGACCACTGCTAATCCCATATTTTGTACTGCCTGACATCTGCGAACATTACATTACACTTACATTCAATTTTTCAAGCCTAATAAAATTAATATTTTATTTGATATACCTACCATTAGTATTTACTGGTGCTAAGGTGTCTAGTGAGTCCGCACGGGTAGGTACCACCACCCTGCCTATTCCTGCCATGAAGCAGTAATGCGTTTCGGTTTGAAGAGCGAGGCAGTCGTTGTACTATAAAAATGGCACGTTTGTCAAAGTGAGTTGCGGCATTTACGTTGTTAATGTTTATGGGCTCCAGTAACCACTTAACACCAGATGGGCCGTGAACTCAACCATGTACCTAACCAAAACATATACATACATATTAGTATTATTTCAATAATTTGTTAATAAATTATAAAACATAATTTCATACATTCCATACGCAGTTCCCAGTTGACTCTCGGGTACAATCAGCGCGACCAAGGGCCACAAACCACTCGACAATAATGAGTAAGAAATTCCTAATAAAATCTGTAACATAATAAGAACTTTTTTTGAAAACAACTAAATAATTTGGAAAGAGGTTATCCAGTGTATTCACGAAATATAATCTTACGAGTTGAGTTAAAGCTGTAAAAGAAAAGAACGTTAGTGTCAGTATTCAAATCGTTCAAATCCCATTATTTTTCCACTCATTTTCCAGACAATAGATGACGCTTAATACATAATATTAGATTGGTGGACGTAAGCAACATCCTGGTGATAAATAAATATTTAGTCAATACAATTCGTTTTTTTTTTCTACCTAATCGCCGGTAGCCTAAGGGGTGGTGGTGGGTACGCACGGATGGGGTTTAAAAAGGTGTTATTTTATTGTTGACGCGGACGTTGAGTGGACGCGAGAGCAAGCTCTCATCTTGAAACTCGTATACCATTTATCACAGTCACTAATTAATTAAGTACACGAATTACTAGTACTAAAAGAAACTGTAATAATATCTTTCACATGTTTAAATAATATCGCGTGACATCAACTATGCGTGCGTATTAATATTATGTATATTATGATAATTTACACATTGTAAAACTGTATTTGATAACGGCTATGTCCGCCGATACCAGCTGTGTAAGCGTAGTGTTTGGTTGCATTGCTTATGAGAACTTTAAATAAAATCATTGTAGTACTGATTGTTGGTTGAGTTTTTTTGTGTGTGTTTGACATTGATGGGCGTGTCCATTGTCAGATACCACGTCAACTCGGCTTGCTGACGATCTTTTCGTGTATTTACGTGCTTTAATTTGTACCCATTCCCAAAATACCCACTTAGTGAAAAAAAGGGTGCGTGTACTTAAGTACGCGCGTAAGAAATTATACTTTATTTTTATTATTATTTTTTTTTTAATTTAAATTTTAATCAATTTGAAAAAAAATCGATTAAACAACATCCTCAAACACGCATATTGGACATCCCTTTTCTTGACATCGTATAAATTCGGTAATTCTCGGTACGGTTCGGAAAGTTCACCTGCGGCTATATTCAGACTCGCTAAGTTACGTCGGTCGTATTGTAATGAGCGATTTAGTGGGCTACTTCATTCTGTGAATTTTGTGTCACGGTGCGCGCGCATCGTAAAATTTCACTCTCATCAATTTTTCATAACGTATACGAATTCTTAGTAAAATTGTGACTAAAAATTCAATACACTTTTTAGAAAAACTTGAGCACACTACAAAACGAAATCTATAATCTATAATCTCTATATATAAAAATGAATTGCTGTTCGTTATACCGGCCACTGACATGCGCGCAAATATTCGTACATTGTACGAATGTTTGCGCGCATGTGAAGGGCCCTCAAACATTCAACGCGCCTAAAGAAGTATAACTTCAAAAATAAACGAGAATGGCAACACAAAACCCTTCAAACTACAGAGCCCTCGAAACCAAACCATTAAAAATATAAGATATAGACCCCCCCTAAAATATACAAAATCATACTCACGACACCTATATAAGGATTGAAGAATGTAAATGCCATCAAGAAATGTCCACACAAGGTCAGGACGATACTTATAATAACCCAAGTCACGTTTCTACCAGTTTTATCGATCAGGATGCCAAAAAAGGGACTCAGTGCTGCAGATAACAGATAAACCATTGAATTGACCGTGTTCGCATCTTGAGGTGAAAAGTCGAATTTCCGTTCGAAAAATAATCTGCAATACAAAACAATGCACTATATAAGTTTATAATTCCTATAGATAGGTAGAATAATACATTATTACAAGTGATGAGTCGCCCGAACATACGTTCAATAAATAAATACAACTAACCCATTTGAGCTTAAAGTTTTTTTCAGTTACTCTTTTTTCTATTTGTTGGTGTTCATCAAGAAAATATATTTCAATAGCGATGACGGATCGATCGCAATCATTATTAATCTAATAATATCCTTGCTTCGAATGCGGAATCGTCAATGACGTCACTATATTCCATATATGTTATTTATTGTATTACATAAGACAAAGAAAAACGTATTTGTAAATAATAAGATTAGAAAGAGTTAGAATGTAATCGAAACTCAATTAAGTGTTTAAATTCGTAACTTGATTTGATTAATGACAAAAATGTACGATTGAATGTCTTTTTTTTATTGCTTATATGTGTGACCGAGCTCACAGCCCACATGGTGTTAAGTGGTTACTGGAGCCCATAGATATCTACAACGTAAATGCGCCACACACCTTGAGATATAATTTCTAGGGTCTCAATATAGTTACAGTCAGTATAGTGTCCACAAAGGCGAATATGTTTTTGCTATATATTTTAACCAAGATTCGTTTGTTTATCTTCATATTATTATTATGGACTTTAGCTCCGCATTCTCTCGTAGTGAAGCGTGGTACACATTTATTCATGGATAGATTAATAATATGAGACAAAAAAACGAATACTCACTTTCCTAATGCAATAAACGGAAATAAAGCTAAATAGTATACAACAGCTATGACAGAAATAAGCCAAAACTCTGATCTGAAGTGCATTATGTCTTTCAAGTGAAACGGTTCCTCGTTCATGCTCTCTTCTTGTCTGTTTAGGATCTTTTCGGCTCTGTAGTCCATCCAGCCTAATATTATTCCACACAGAAGGGAAACAAAGCAAGTCATTGATGCTGAAAGAATAATTACAGTTATGATATTCATTAGGAAAATTTTCAACATCTGACACAAGGTCAAATAATATATGCTATAGTGTTTTTCTATTCAATATTTTAAATAGATCTAAAAAAAAACTATGTTCTACAGGTAGTAACTCCAAATAAGCTTCTTTCATAAACAATACATACGATATTTTCGCTCTGATGTCGATATTAACAGAAGGATATGAACAGAAAATAATATAATACATTTATTTTTATTATTATTATAAAAATAGCTTTTGGTCTAAATTAAATTTCTATGGCAAATAATAATGATATGTGTAATTCCTTTTTTACATGCCTTAATCATGCCATAAGTCAAATGATTTTTGTTTTTGCCACTTTTTTTAATGCATTAATTTTGCACGAGCTTTAATTATTGCACTTTAGTGACACAACATCATTCAATACCAAAAATGTTCAATGTGGACACATTAAGAGATCTTACCTATAAATAGAGTAACTCCTAAACGCTCATAGCCTATGTAGTAGTTGCCAATCCATCTATAAATGGGTTCCATTATCCAAAAGTTCACAGTACTACCGAACCTAGAGAATGATAGTTGTAGCCCAAACACCATGTTTAGTTCTTTTCCTTTAAACCACAGAACTACATAATTATTGACTACTACTTGTAATGATTCTCCACCAATACTGAAAGAACAAAGAGAACTTCAATAATTAAAATTTTATGGTGCATAACCCTGCGTAATAATGATCATTTCACTATATTTGAGCTAATTTCAAGATTTGCATGTTTTTTATATACATTTTTTTATATTTTCCAATTTGCTTTTAATTTACACTAATTAAACGAATATAGTGATGGTAGGACGTCTTGTGAGGCTGCACGGGTAGGTACCACCACCCCACCAACTTCTACAGTGAAGCAGTAATGCGTTTAGGTTTGAAGATTGAGGTAGCCGTTGTACTGTTGAAAAATGAGACCTTACAACTCATGTGTCGAGGTGTAGATGTCTATGGGCTCCGGTTACTACTTAACATCAGGTGGGCTGTGAGCTCGTCCAACCATCTAAGCAATAAAAAAAATATGTGTTAATATAAAAATATAATAAGGCCAATTTTCAAATTCATTACACCTAGAAAATACTAGCATATGCAGGACGGTGGCAATACTTGCAAAGTTCACAATATGCCATTCCACCATCATATACAGGTCGTACCATGAATTATAAAAAAATGTGTGCGTGTACTAGTGTACACACGTAAGAAGTGAAACTTATTTATGGCCCTATTTTTCGAAAAATGATCTACATGCAACTTTCTAGAAATTGGTTAAATAAAGTTAAATTAGATAAAGTTTAAACAAAAGGATTTTATTATCATAGACATGAATACAAAAAAGATGGCGCGTAACGGAAAAATGTGACGCGTAACCGAAAAATGTGACGGTAAATTTTTTTCCAACGCCGATAAGGAAGTTTCACTTCAATTATTTCAATTTATTTAAATATAAAATACCCAAATACGAATCTTCCAAGTATCATCAGCCAGTATGTATTTATATAGACACCACTTGCGAATATGACAGCTCCAATAAAAACAATGGTCATGTATATTACTGTTCCTAATCTTACACCAAAATATCTGAAAAAAAACCACTATGTGAATTCTTAAAAGTCAAATTATAGACATAGACATCAGTTCCGAAAAGAAAACATTTATGAGGATGATAAAAAATCCTATGTATGTAAATAAAGTTTTTAGTTATTTGGATTTAGAAATTAATTTTGTTTTTTTGTTCTTGATTATTTGAAATGTAACATTTTTCTTTAATGAGTAAGTACATAGCACATTCATAAAACAGCACATTATCACATGAACGTTTATTCAAGCTTTATCAATTCAATTGTGATTCATATACATATGGACTTAGTATGCTGAGCAGATAGTAAATAGATTATACAGTGTTACACAAACATGATAAACAACACCAATTTGAATAACTACTATCAGTAGTATTTATTCTCTTAGCAGTAATTAAGCATACATTACAATTAACACAATACTCAGTTTTAGTATAATAGATTTCAATCAACTGTATTCTTCCATCCAGGAATTAACTCACCTAATAGTAAGTTACGCTAAATGGTTACCGTCGCCCATGGACGTCAACAATGCCAGGGGCAGAGCCAAAGCCGCTGCCTACTTTTAAGTACTCTCCACAAGTCTCGTATGAAGAAGGGGATGGCATAACGCTCAGGGAAACATTTTAGTATATGAAAGCCTCAAAATTATAATTCGCATAATTACTAGTCGTAAGGCGTCTTGTGAGTCCGCGCGGATAGGTACCACCACCCTGCCTATTTCTGCCGTAAAGCAGTAATGCGTTTTGGTATGAAGGGTGGGGCTACCATTGTATCAATACTGAGACCTTAGAACTCATATCTCAAGGTAGGTGGTGGCATTTACCCTGTAGATTTTTCTGGGCTCTGGTACCACTTAAGGTCAGCTGGGCCGCGAGGTCGTCCACCCACCAAAGCAATAGAATAAAAAAAATAAAAGCCAATTTACAAAATATTAAATAACCTACCTGTCAACTAAGTATCCACCAATAAAGCATAATATAACATTGGGCCATGAATATATAGAATAAAGCAAAGTAAACTGGGAAGTTGTCAAATGTGTGTCATCTTTGAAGTTATCTACGAGGGCACCTGGTGTGTCGTAACAGAAATATGAACCTGGGAATAAAAACCTTATTTAAATGTTAAGTACATATACATTGAAAAACTGTTTAATTATATTTCTTTTAATTGTTTTAAAACTTAGCTATGATAATTCTTTTATTTTATTCAAAATAAAGTAAGAAGTAAAAGTACTTACCAAAACAAAGAAAGCACATTAACAGAAGAGCGATAAACCGATGTATCCTATTTGCAGGATGGCGCCATGATGTGGGTGATATCTGTGGAGTTCTACTACTCCCACTAGCCTCGGGATTATCCATAACTGTACGCAAATCAAAAGAGAATCTTATATTTTGATAAACTTTGGTATAAATATGGCTGTTTCGAGAACGGAAAATTTAACTGTTCTAATATACATACCTTATAAAAAATATACTGCATTAATTCAATTTCAATGAAAAGCAAGGCTGAATTGCTTGCAATTCATGATAAATTGTTGTTTTTATTATTTAGATGAGAGTTAAAACTAATCTATTTCTTTCAGAAGTAACGTGAGGTTCTTAATGTTTAATTTACATTCCTCGTTAGTACTTTAAAACAAGGAATATACACTGATTCAGTCTCCGACTCGTAAAAATACTCATACAAAATAAAAATAAAAGTGTCAATATCACAAATTAACAAACAAATGTCAATTGTCAATCTCCAATGTTTTTTTTTGTAATTTGGCCTGGATACTAGACTTTTAAGCCAAATCTTTGTTTTCATAATGTCAAAGAAGTTATTTACTCAATGGTAGCACCATTGATTCAATAAACGTCGCGGCAGTCATTCACACAGAACACTATTACTTCTAGCGAAGGTCATTCACTTCCAAACACTGAAGTATGAAACCTGGGTCTATGTTCACAACAAATTATTTTCATATAGCCGCGCCAGTGATGTAGCCAAATAGCGTCTATGTACTAGCACTGACAAATGGTAGGGTCAACAAATAAAAAGCAATATAGAAAGAAAAAGTTGTTTATTTTAAAAAAATATAAAAAAAAACAAATGAAAATGTACTTTACTTTAATTTGGTGCCCTGGCAGAGGGGGAGGTGTAAAATAAATAACAAAATAACCACGAAATAACGAACAAATGCAACAAATAACAACAGAATTTGAGAGAAAACAGACCGCATCTGAGAACAAAGTCAGATCTGACAATTTTTTTGCATGCAGTACACGCTGTGTGCGACTAAAGACAGGAATAGCTTAGAGTGAGAGCGCATGATCGCCGCCGCCATTTTAGATTCGTTTCTTTATTGGCGCGGCTATCAAAGAGTACGGTAGTTAAGTTCAAATATGTTTCACGTTTCACTTTCAGGTTTTTTTTTTGTAATGTCAAAGTTTTTTAATGTATTTTTAATTTAATTTAAAGATTGGGGCTACACTTTCTTTTACGGTCCGTCGATTTGGAAGTTCACAATTTTTTTGTAGATAGTACTCATAAATAGAAAGCTTTTTGCAAAATTTCAAGTTGCGAAGATTTACGGTTTACGAGATATAATTTTTTTCGTCAAGGTAAACGTCACAGTTGACGTTTCACGTTCCATTCACGGTAAACGTGTATTTTATTAAATTTTATGTCATGTTTTTACCGAAATATGTTTTATTATTTTAATATATTTACATAGTAAATTTGTTGTAATTAATGTGCACAGTAATTGTTGCTGTAATAAGTAATTATATTGAATTTTTTACACAAAAAGTAAAAAAAAATTGTTTACACTGTGGAACGGAACGTGAAATGACGCATTTTTTATAGCGTCTTTTTATCGGTCTGTAATAAAATATCTTTTTAAATAAGATTAAATATAAAATAGTAAAATTGCTCGTGTTTTGGTTATAAAATTGCATAAATATTCGAAAAATATCGAAAACCGAATCATAGCTCCCCACTTTCCACCTGGACTTGTCTGCTCTACATATCTAGAGTGTTAATAAAAAACCAGAGGCGCGGACGGAGAGCAGTCCTCGCCCGAAGCTGCAGAGCGGAGCACGAGTGACCGTGCTTCGGCACGCAAGGGCAGAAGGGCTGCTCTTCCCGCAGCGCCGAAGATAAAGTGGGTTCAAACTTAAGCTCCCTTCGAGTTTGACTAAATAATGCAATTTTAATCTAAAAAATTAAGCATGGATATCTTCATAGCCATGGGGATCTGCGGCTTGGTGATGGTGCAGTGGTAAGCCCTTACACCCCTCCCTCCTCGACTCAAAAATAATGGACCATAATAAATTGAAATTTTAGCCTTATGCTTTGACTAAATCTTGATTCCATTTGAGAATATGTGGTTCAAATAATTTGGACTTTCGTTTCCTACTCTTTCGTTCGTACTAGATTTGACGAATACTTTAAATTCCGTAGAAATAGAGTTTTCCGGACAAAGTCTCTTGTAATCAGGTTTGTGATAAGGTAAGTAAAGATTGACTTCCCCGCCTCCACCACTGTTGTTTTCACTGTCCATTGTCCTGCCCCGTTTTGCTACGGGGGCGAGGGGATCGCCACCCCCGCCCTCGTTACCCACCATTTTTAAACACTCAACTTATTATTAGTTATTTACAGACAAACAAAAACACTTAAACATAAATTTAAACAATATTATGAATTTTCTTTTCAAAAAAGTTCAAATTTTGCGCCCTTTCGTTTCAAACTCCCGCCAAAGAATCTGTCTTTTTTTTTTTGTCCTACCTAAGCTGGTAGCCTTGAGAGGCTATTCCAGCGTAATCTTAACTAGTAGGTGAGCTCACGGGGCTCAAACCTGACGACGTTGCTAACACGAACCCTAGCAAGAGCCATGCTTCGCAGAATCTACCACCGGATCGGAAACGCGACCCACTGAGAAGATCCGGCGAGAAACTCAGTGGGCTGTGTCTGAGGGTTAATTTACTCGAGCCCTTCGTCGCAAGCGACGGGTTCGACGAGAACGGTGACCGGAGAATTTGTCAATATACAGTGATAAACTCAGTACTGCCAGGAAAGCCAATCTATTTTGGAGACCAAAAAGAACAAAATTTCAACACTGTACAAAGCAAGCTACAGTAAAATAAACGGGTAAAGTAAAGTAAAGTAAACCTTTAAAGTAATCAAGAATGACAATGTCGGTAAAAATAAAGAAAACATTCAATATTAGACTGTCCTGTATATCGATCGAATAATGTCTCCATTTTTGTTAGAAAATTTTTTTTTTGCCTTTTTACTGCCAATATATATAGGTATATTTTATGTTCGGAGGATTACCTGTGGCCCGGAGGCCTTTCCAATTTCACCGGGACTGATGGGTAAAATTATTTATACTTCACAAGTGGTGTTTGTTGATTTGGAAAAAACGTATGGTAGGGTTCCCCGTGAGGTTCTGTAGTGAACGCTCCACAGCTGGCGATACCGACGAGTTCAGTGTGGCGGTAGGCTTGTACCAGGGATCAGCTTTAAGCCCTTACCTGTTCATCCTAATAATGGATGCCCTAACATTTGACATACAGGAGGAGGCGCATGTATGCTGTTCGACATTGTTCTCGTTGAAAAGGAAGGGTCTAAAGTACAGAGGAGATTAACAAAATGGAAAGAAAGGTTCGAAAACGCGGATTTGAAGATAATTCGAACATAAACCGATGTTCTGTGATTTTGGTGGTTCTTCAGACTTCGCGCCAATTGCCTTAGATGGTGTATCCCTGCCAGTGTGCTTCGACTACAAGTACCTCGGCTCTATACTTTAGAACGACGGCTACATAGACTGTGACGTAGCGAGCCGAATAAACGCTGGTTGGGTGAAATGGCGACAGGTCTCTGCAACAGCATGCGATCGTAGAATGCTCTTTAAGCTCAAGGGGAAAATTTACAAAGCGATTTATAGACCTGTTAAAGTAGCCCCGGTGATTGACAAATTATAGAGTGGACGGTTAGCGTGGTATCGACATACGATGCGCAGAGACTGATGAGAGGAGAGAGATGCACGTGACTAGGAGATGTATGGAAATGGCAGTGCAAGGTAGAGTGGGAAGAGGTCGACCAAAGAAGACATGGATGGGGTGTGTGAATAACGATATGAGAGAGAGAGGAGTGAGTGTTGAGATGACCGCTGATAGAAGAGAATGAAGAAAAATTTGCTGTGCCGACCCCACTTAGTGGGACAAGGTGGAGACAAAGAAGAAGAAGTTCCTTAATAAAGTTTTGGTATCTTTTACAATTTAAAGGTTTATTTGTGTTAAAAGTTTCGAATGGCGATTACGCACTGAAAAACGCAGCGTAGCATAATCCAATAAGACAATACGACGGTCTGATGAAGATCTTCAAAAACGGTGAGAATTGTCAAAAGATATAAATGTCTTGATAATTTCAAAATACGCGCATTTTGTTACTTTTGAAGTGTAATGGCAATATTGAACAAGCATCAATTTAATCAATGTCATTCAAGTGGTTCTATTTTTCCATCTGGAATGGTATCATACCATATGTTCATATGGTATGGTAAAAGTATCATACCATATGAACTAATCTTCTAAATGTTTTTTATGAAAAATGATAATATGAAGTTAAATGAAATGAAGTTGATTAATTTGATACAATAACTGATTGGCATGAATTGAAATGAGATGAGCTGAGATGATATGGGATGATATTTAATCTCAGTAAAATGGTGGTTATTTACTAAAACTTCTTCAGTGGACTTTTTGGAGGATCTCGAGAAGCTACGTCCAGTGTTTTTGTTTCATTTTCACACATTTCTGCTCTTTCACAGATACTAAGCAGTTAATAATCCACTGTTATTACACATTTAAATCTGATAAAACGCTAAATAGACAAAATATCGATCTATCTCTTAGGTTTATGATAGATAGATAGATATTTAAACAATTCACACAACTCCGCTACGTGCTCCCACCAAAAATATCATCATAGAGCATCAGTTTGGCACAATGAAGTAAGAAACCTATGGAAATGAAACGTCAACCAAAATTTCGTGCCACTGTGACGTCATCTGGCCACAAAACATGGCGGCTTTAGTGCTGTACAAAAGATTTCAATGTTATCAGGTTTTATCGATAAACGTTCTTGGCTCATTTTATTTTAAATATTGTTGAGTATTATTTATTTGTAGAATTTATACTTTAATGGGAAGTAAGTAGGTATATTGTTATGTGCAAATATGATATGATTTAGATGGGTGAAATCTAAGACAAGTTCGTCCTTCGAATTTGCCAAGTAAACGATATGATGATTTTTAAAAGTTGCTACACTGATTTTATAAAGTTGTCGTTTGTCGCAAAACATAAAGATATGGCGTAGTTCAAAGCCATCAGCCCATTTCTAGCATGCTAAATGTTATCGTATTTTGAGTACGTGTTTTTCTTAGACTATTACAATCTATTTTAATTGTTTTGCTGACTCTAAAGTCCGTAACATACTACCGCAGCGCACCCCAAGGAAGGTGCGCCGCACCATTTGAATCACTTTCGCTTGAGAGTGATTCAAATTTTAAACTTATCAAGGGACCGCGTGAAAAAAAAAACACCTACAGAACATTTATTCATTAATTACAAACGTCATTCCTTGTGACTTCCTCTCTAAAATCACTTAATTATTAAATATTTAACAAATTTACAATAGTGTTTTACTCACTGCGGAATAAAACTATTTTATTTAAATAGTTCCGAAGAGATTTTGTCGGTAGCCTTTTTCCCGAAATATCTAAACAGAATGTCTAAATATGTTTTGATGACATATTTTAAAGTGGTATTTATGATTAGTGTCATGATCAATAGATTCCGACCGAAAAATGGATTTTTCGGATGAGGGCTCCATAATGAATTTAAATACATATAGATAATAGTTTTAGGACATCGACTTTCTTGAGATCCTATAAAATACGTTTTAATTATTATTTTTGTATGTTTTAAGCATGATAAATTATGAAATTTTATATAATCAATCATATTAAATCGATATCAAAGTCAATAAATAATGTACAACCCAAAACAGACGGCCGAACTGACGTGACAATGACATTTGGCGCGCTAAACATGGCGGATTTTCGGCCTCATTAGACGGAGACGGAGATATTTACGTATATTCATGTTTCATTTTATGTACGCACTGAAATACTGTTATATTGTTTTCCTGCGAGTTAAAGTGCTGAGTAAGAACGAGATAGATATATGTTTATGTATGTGCCTTCAAAATGGGTGCTATTTATATAAGCAATTGTACGTATAGAACAATATGCCGTGTCCCTACTATATAGGTCTATGGTTTGGCATATATTACATTTTTTAAACTAAAAATGCGAAGATATCATACCATACAGTCTAATCTTTTATATATTTTCTGTTTTATGAAAAAATATATGTGCTACATAAATGAAATGAAGATTAATTTGAGACAATAATTGAGATAAAATTATTGAATGGATGAAACGAGATCATATGGGATAAAATATAGTCTCAGTAAAATGGTGGTTATTTTCTAGGACTTTGTCAGTGGACTTTTGGAAATAAGTTTTACAGATAGGTACTAAACGGACTACTTTTATTACTCATTTAAACCTGAATAATACCTACTGAATTCCCGCCAAAATATCATCATCATTTATCAACTGGTGTCATAGCTTTTTATCAACTGTAAAGGCAAAGGAGTAACATCGAGAACGAAAACATTCCTGATTTTAATAAAAAATTATAATTTATTTATTGCTTAGCTGGGTGGACGAGCTCACAGCCCATCTGGTGCTAAGTGGTTACTGGAGCCCATAGACATCCACAACGTAAATGCGCCACCCACCTTGAGATATAAGTTCTAAGGTCTCTAGTTTAGTTACAACAGCTGCCCCACCCTTCAAACCGAAACGCATTACTGCTTCACGGCAGAAATAGGCAAGGCGATGGTACCTATCCGTCCGGACTCACAAGAGGTCCTACCACCAGTAATTACGCAAATTATAATTTTGCGGGTTTCATTTTTATTACACGATATTATTCCTTCATCGTGGAAGTCAATCGTGAAAATTTGTTTAGTACCTATTTCATTAGAAAAATTGGTACCCGCCTGAGATTCGAACACCGGTGCATCGCGCTCAACACAAATGCACCGGACGTCTTATCCGTTAGGCCACGACGACTTCGAATAATATAATGTCTTTATTAATATGGTACACATTTGCTAAAGAATTTATAAAATTTCTACAGAAATTCGAAAATCACTTGCAGCTTTTTTGCATTTTGTCATACTGGTGCACTTTCAGACTAAACAAATAGTTATGCACCATATAATAGGTTGGGGAAAAAGTTTCTTCGCATTTTTTAAGAAAATTCACAACATTTTTTAATATAGTTTATTTACATTTAACTAAAGTATGTAGGTAGGTATGTATGTTTTCCCCCCAACCTATTATAATATAATACCATAACACTAAATTGACAAAAATAATTTTACATTAAAAAGTCTTATCATAAACAGAAACGTCCTTGAAATTTTTGAAAAGAATTATCGCCAATAAGTGTAATAAAGCTTCAGCGGTACGCTGCGATTCGATTGTGCCTCTGGCATTGTTTAATAACAGGGCTTATAAGCTGCAACCAATGCCATTCAAACAATAATTTACAATAAAATACATAGGTATTTTATTTTTCTTTAAATTATCCATCACGATAAGTTTATAAATTAGCGTAATAACTGGTACCGTGAACGTAAATTCATACATGTAGGCATTCACAATCTGTTTTTTCTGCCGCAGGCCAGTAGAGCTGGAGAGAGAGAGAGAGAGTAGCTATCATTTAATAGAAGATATTTTACAATAAACTCAATCTTGCTATAGATATTTTTAAGATAAGACTTGGACCTCATTTCTCAAAGTGAGTGTTAGCATTCACATGATCCATGTGAATGGATAATATAATAATAACACTAATCACCAGGTGTACCATGAGTTCGCTCATCCGTATATACAATTTAATAAGAAATTATCAATGATTCATCACCATCATGGCTGAACATTGGCCAGGGGCATAGCTACCGCATAGATTTCCAGAGACTGTTAGTGACGACTTGCATAATGTATCCAGTATCTGCCACCTTCCTCAAATAAAACTTGAATATTGCGCTGCAAACTTGCAAATTAAAAGATGCAAAAACTTCTCCAAATAGAGATATAATAATACTTTAGCTTGGTTCTAATTAAAAAATTGTATTGTAATTAGATTCGAAATCAAAAAAATTAGTATGGATGTAATGGCTGATTAACGAAAAAAAACACATCTCATGTATTTCTTATATTAACAAATTCAATTTAAAAGTTATATTGTAGTTGAATGAAATTATATGTTGTCGTATGTCGTAAATACAATGGTTGATTGTAGCGAGTGGCGACAATAGGGCGGGCGGGGTGTGTACGTGGCACGGCCAGGGCGGGCGGGGTGAGGAAGACGGACGAGGGGCGGATGCGACGCGCAGTGCTCCTCGCGCAGGAACGGAGCGGTGTTCACTCGGCAGCGCGCCGCGGCGCGACATGCCCAGCTGATGTTTATTTATACCGCGAGCTCGGTGGAGGGTGCGCGCGGGAGGCCCTCCCCTCCGCGGCACCACGGCTTCGCGTGATGCAGCCGAGCGAGCTAGCCGATGCCGCGCACGCTGCTAGCGGAAACCCCCCGCAGCGCGGCCTCAACGGTGGCCGATTCGACTTTGACGATGGTGGTACATATTGTGGTAGTTGGGATGACGGCAAGGCCCATGGCCACGGAGTGTGCACTGGGCCTAAAGCCCAAGGAGCCTACGCCGGTTCTTGGAACTTCGGTTTTGAAGTATCGGGCGTCTACACCTGGCCCAGGTGAGATAGTGACTTCGCCCGGGCCTCGCACATGCCCGAGCGCAAACTCGCGTCCGAAGCGACTCCAAAAATAGGCTGCTATTAATAATTGAGTTCGGTGTTTCGCTAGAAAACGCGTGTATCGGCGCGGTGAAAGTGCCTCATGGCCCAATCTCAGTGGAAATGTTCACATCGATCGATGCCCACTGATAACATGTGATAACAATATCATCACTTTATAGTGCTGTTAAGCTGCTGTGTCAATTGACCTTGTCATTGGCGCGGACAGTTCCATTAAATTGCTCCGGAACTTTGGGCTGATATGAATTCAATTGATATAATTATTAATGGTGGATACTTCAGTAGGTATTCAAGAACAATTTATTCTAAAATTCATATTGCCTATTTTCGAAAGTATTATTATTCTTTTTTGAAAGTATTACTCGTTTTTTACAAATAATGTATTTGTACACAAACAGCATTACCTATAGAATACATAATACATACATACAGTACATAATACATTGTGCTCGTTAACTTACCTGAAAATATGCATGTACATATAATATGTATGTATATTTTATATATATTATTTATTTATGTATATGTTCATTTTAAGTCAACATTTATATTTTGCAGCTGTTTTTTTTATTCTTCTTTATTTAATTAATTAATGCAAAAGCGCAATTTTTTTAAATTTTGTTTCAAAAACCTTTTAGTTGCTTATAGGTTATCTACAATTTATCTCATTTTAACTATCGTAAAACTAATTGAAATTATTTAATTATTAGCATAATAGAATTAAAAGTCGCAACATTGTTAGTTCGTCACGAGTATCTAGCATTGAAATTTAATAATAATACAATTCGTGCGACGAGTAACAACTAAAATGACATAATAAGAGCTTAAACTGATCGTAAAGAAAATTTGGTAAAGTGAAAATTATATTGTCTTATCATTGAATCAATATATGTAATACGTAAACAAACTACTTACGAATCCTAATCAAGATAATGGTTAAACTCAATTAGGGTTTTGCTTTCAGTATTGAGATAAGTTGTAATATTAATGTAGTAGCGTTTGATAGGCATTTAAAACCAATTTATAGATGTATGTGAGGTGTAGTAAACTCACTGACCTAGTCGTTTTGAAATAAAAACAATTTTCCTTTTTCTCAACTAACTAACTTAATTAACTAAAAAACTAACTAAATTTCAAAATTTAGGTCGTAAATAAAGGACCTTGAACTAAAACAGAGCAGAACGATTACTCATGAAATAGTTTTTTTTTTTTTTTTATGATTGAGAGATTACTGGTGGCCCGAAGGCCTTTCCAGTTTCACCAGGACAGGTGGGCGAGCAAAGGCTCAGCCAGGAGGGGTGGGATTTGCTAACAGCTGCCCGAGCGCCTCCGAAGGAGACCTAACAACTCAAGAGCAATTGCTTCGCGAATGAATCTACTACCGGATCGGAATCGCGACCCGCTGAGAAGATCCGGCGAGAAACTCAGCGGGCTGATGCATGGGCTAGGTTGCACGTCGACCTCTTTGTCGAGTTCGACGAGTACGGTTACTGGGGTCCCTAAGCCTGCTCCTAGTATTAGAGCTGAAGGCATCTAATGCAAAGGTTATTGGATCTGATGGATCCGTAAGGACGTGTCTAGGGCGTCGACGGTGACTGGCTCCTGCATGATCAGGATTCGGTGCGTAGTCAGCGGCGGCAACGATAAGGCGATTATCATGACGCATAGCCTTATCGAAGTACCGTTCCGACGCTGACTTCATGTATTTCTGGATTGATTCAAGGCCCAGGTCGTCGTGTAGGTCAACGTTCCTCACGAACCACGGAGCCCCGACGGCTAACCTGCAAAAGCGAGATTGTAGGGATTGGAGGGTGTCTATGTGTGTGCGGGCCGCGTGAGCGAACACCACACTCGCGTAAGTCATGATGGGCCTTATGCAAGTTTTGTAAAGTGTCACCTTGTTCCGAAGGGACATTTTACTCCGCTTACAGATCATGGGATAGAGTCTGCCGAGAATGAATGCGGCACGGTCGCGGACTGTTTTTATGTGTGGGCGGAATGTCATGGATGCATCCAGGGTGACTCCCAGGTACTTAACCTTCCTGACCCAGGGTATAGGTTGGCCGAAGAGGGTGATCGGGGGAGTGATATTTCTCCTCCTAATGCGGGAGGAAATAAGCGGTGAGTTTCCCCTTTGAAATAACACTGCTGTGCTTTTCGCCGGGTTGATGTCTATGCGCCATTTTCGGAACCACTGTCCGAGGGCTAACGCTGCGCTCTGGAGTTTACTCGCGATTAGGGACTTGTTTCTACTTGAGTAGTAAACGGTTGTGTCGTCAGCGAATAAGGCTAGCTGGGTCGGCGGCGACCGGGGAATATCATTAATAACTAAACTAAATAAGAGCTAAATAAGAGCGGTGAGAGAACGGAGCCTTGCGGCACTCCAGCCGTGAGTGGTCGCGGGGAGGAGCGGGTTCCCTCTACTCGATATCGAAAAGAGCGGTTCGACAAGAAGTCCCGTATGATGAGCACGAGACTATCCGGCACGCCCATGTTGAATAGTTTGAAAATCAAACCGTTGTGCCAGACTTTGTCGAACGCTTTTGNTAGGGTGGCGAAGTCGGAGGAATTCTGTAAATAAAGCTTCCATGATGTCTGACCCAGGTGGGGCTGTCCCGGGTCTTAAACACACTCGCCTTGCGGCGAGGCCCCAACTTCTCGGTACTTAGCGGTTCGATTGAACACAGGTGGCGATGCGGCACAATTACTGCAGGAAAAAGAAAGAACAACAAAAAAAAAAAAAGGAAACAACAAAAATAAACCAAAACGAAACGAACACTTCCAGGAACACACTTTGTCGGCAGATGTGCCACGAACAAAAGCCGGGTGAACAAAGGCCGGGCTAACAATAAAACCAGGCGAACAATGGCCGGGCGATTGAGTGGTCGATGAGCACGTCCGCAGGCGGCGGGTGCTTCTGTCGGACTGATCATGAAATAGTATCAGCGTATTGCTTCACCTTCGATCATAAGCATGTTTTTTAAGTTTCATTTTATAATACGATAATTCACATTGTTCATTAACACACAAAGTTGCGATTCTCTTCTCTTCTTATCCTATATAATATTATTTACAATAATTCAATACAAAGTCGAAATAATGAACTATAGGTAACATTAGATGCCTAACGTTCTCATTGTACAGCATGTACTGCGTTCATACAAATATGATTCAAGACCAAGTACACATATACCCCGCAAAATATCTATATATATATAAAAATGAATTGCTGTTCGTTAGTCTCGCTAAAACTCGAGAACAGCTGGACCGATTTAGCTAATTTTGGTCTTGAATTATTTGTGGAAGTCCAGAGAAGATTTAAAAGGTAGATAAATAAATGCTCGGAATTACATAAAAATAACAAATTTGTTTTCCCTTTGATGTGTCCCCCGCCGGACGAATTCATTTTGTTTGTTTTAAGTTTATTTTATACAAAAGTTTAGGTCTTTTATTTTTCGATTGAGGCACTACGAAGTCTGCCGGGTCAGCTAGTCCTCAATAAAAATACTGGACTCTGATTGAAATTGAATCGTTAGTCACTAACCACTAGATACACCAATGAGATGATTAAATTGCTTGTTGATGTAATGTAATATTGGAACATTGAAACCGATCACGAAACCTAAGACACGTAAAGGTTAAAAGTAGACTAAAGACAAGATTGTAGATTCAATTGCACTAATAACATATTACAAAGGAAGTCATCCTCCCAACACCAAAATGCTTTGGTACGCCGCAATTAGGAAAAGTTACGAGGAGAGTTAAGAAAATCATTGAACATACTTAAATATTGGTAAGACTGATGGATTAAAGAGCTGTATTAGCAGTAAAATAATAAAATTAAACAATAAAAGAAACGTGTGATATGCACGTGTTAAAAGTGAAGGTGTCAGAAGTACATATAGGGTTTTTCACTATGGTTTTTCATTAGGGACGCTCGAACTTTGACAGCTCAAAGCCGCCATCATGGTAAAGTGATAGCTGTCAAATTTGGCAAGAACACATATTTAGTCGTGACATTTCACCATGTCATGCCACACGCTTGTCCAGCGGTATCAGCGGCCCTTATTCCTTCGAAGATGCACAAGGAGCCGCGCTCACTGTCAATGGCGACCGATATCGGACGATGATAACCAACTTTTTGTGACTTAGGATAAATGGTATGGATCTCACAAACATGTGTTTCCAACAGAACAGTGCTACTTGCCATACAGCTTGGGAAACATTAAAATATTAGATAAGAAATTGGAAGGCTTCGTCATCTCGCGTGTTGGCAACGTCAACTAGCCACCGAGATCGTACCTACAGTCTATTGCCGCCCTGAAGGCCAACATAACTCGCGCTCTCGTGAAATTGAGCCCCATTTGTGCGAAGATGTTGTAGAAAATTGGTCCACCAGGATACACCTCCTACAGCGGAGTCGAACAGGCTTTTTTTATTTTATTTTTAAGTTCGAGCGCTCTTAATGAAAAGCCTTTTATATCTATCTCATTTTGGCGTCAGCTAAATCCAATAGATTTATGCTTGTCTCTTTTTAATTTCTGTTTCATTCAGCTTAAAATCATAATAATGCTCAATAAGCTTTTAACAGTCAGGTCAAACCGTCATTGCGACGATTGAGACATTTTTGGCACCTGACTGTTGGTTTCCATTTTAGTTACTTTTAAGTCAAACATATGGATTAAAAATCCAGTATTATAATACGTAAATTTGGTTTATCAAAATAATAAAATAAAGATATTCTTAGGCCAAGTAAATAAACAAATTGTATCTTAAATCAAAATCTAAATCAACATAAGGTATGTAAATATGACGAATCCTTAGTGCACATTGAAAAAATTATCAAAAGTGAGCTTTATGCCTTTTATAAAAGAAATAACAAATCACGATACTGGTTTTGATTATTCGTACTGTTTAACTTAATACCCCTGAACTAGCGA